GGCAAAGACCAAACATTCTCAGATAAACCTTGCCTAGACATATATTCCTTGATCTACTATGTATAATTTTTCAGTAGGTTGTTGGACTAATATGGTTCCCTCTGGTTTTTAAAACTAGGTAGGCATTATTTATCTCTTGCATTGTCTAACCCTTCCACCACGGTTTCCCCATTTAAGGTGCCCCCATTTTTCCCATTCTCCCTTAATATTACCCTTCTCTTATGGTCCCACCTCTCTTGAGCTCCTTCTTTTCCTTTATCCCCTAGGTTCCTTTTATAACCTTCCCTTCCCCCTCTCCTTAAAATAACCCAATTTTTATCCATATCTCCCTTATTAATGCCTGTTTCCTACTGTCCTTCTCTTTCAGATTCTTTCTTTTACTTTACCTCCCTGGTTCCTTTTCATTATCCTGGTTCCTGTAGTATGCATGGATACATACTTATCAGATTTACTGCCAGGATCCACATGTGAAGGAGAACATATGTCATTTTTTTTTCCTGTAGCTGTGTTACTTCACTTAGGATAACAATTTCTAGTTCCATCCATTTACCTGCAAATTTCATGATTTCATCTTTCTTTACCACTGAGTAGAACTCCATTGTATAAATGAACCACATTTTCATTATCCATTCCTCAGTCAAGGGACACTTATGTTGCTTCCATCTCTTAGCTATTGTGAAGATGTACAAGTGTCTCTGCAATAGGATGAGTTCTTCGGGTATATGCCAAGGACTGGTATAACTGGGTCAAATGGTAGATTCATTTGTAGTTTTTTTTTTATTATTATAAAGTGAATAAATCTTTATTTAAGGGATATTCCATGATTTCCTTCACTGTCCATCAAGGCTGCAGAAGCTCAAGAGAATCCAGATAGCCCTTTCTCAGAGAAACGTGTATTTCTTAATCCAGTTGTGCTTTCAGCCTTCCCACGGTTTATGTCTATGTGAAGGACATATTCATGATAATGTCAAAGTTCTCTACCTGAGATCTGTGGCATCCAATTTCTTGAAACCGTTTACTACTGTAGGAACCATTTTAAGATTCATCTGCTTCTCAGTTGCTGACACCCTAGAGAACAGATGGTACTCTGGACGAAGACCATTTGTAGTTTTTTTAAGAGTTCTCCATGCTGCTTTCCATAGAGGTTGAACAAGTTTGCAGTCTCACCAGCAGTGGATGAGTGTTCCTCTTTCCCCACATCTTCTCCAACATTTGGTATCATTTGTTCTCTTGGTCTTTGTCGGTCTGACTTGAAGTGGTTTTAATTTGCATTTCTCTAATTACTAGTGATGTTGAACATCTTTTAAGATGCTTCTTAGCCATCTTTATTTCTTCTTTTGAGAACTCTCTGTTTAGCTCCTTAGCCCATCTTTTAATTGGGTTACTTCCCGTCTTCTTTGTTTTTTTGAGTTCGTTATATATTCTGGATGTTAAACCTCTGTTAGATGTGTCACTAGTGAAGTTTTTCTCCCATTCTGTGGGTTTTCTCTTCACTTCCCTGGTTGCCTCCTTTGATGAAGCTTTTTAGTTTAATGAGGTCCCATTTGTTGATTCTTGACCTTGTTTCCTGAGCAATTGATGTCCAGTTTAGAAAAATCTTTCCTACCCCTCTATCCTGTAGGTTATTGCCAATGTTTCTTCTAAAAGTTTCAGAGTTTCAGGCTTCACATTGAGGTCTTTAATCCATTTGGAATTGACTTTTGTGCAAGGTGAAAGGTGGGGGTTTAGTTTCTTTCTTCTACAGGTGGAGATCCAGTTTTGTCCTCACCATTTGCTGAATGTATTGTCTTTCCTCCAGGGAATGTTCTTGGCCTCTTTGTCAAATATCAGGTGGCTGAAATTGAATGTACTCATATTTGGGTTTTCAATATTGTTCCATTGATCTATGGAACTATGATCTATTTTTGTGCCAGTATCATGTTGTTTTTATGACTATAGCTCCGTAATACAGTTTAATATCTGGTATAGTAATCCCCTCAGCATTGCCCTTAGTCCTCAGGGTTGCTTTGGCTATCCAAGGTCTTTTGTGCTTCCATATGAATCTTAGGATTTTTTTTCCAATTCTGTGAAAAATTATGTCATGGGGGTTTTGATTGGCATTGCATTGAATCTGTAAATGACTTTCGGTAGGATGGTCATTTTCACAATATTAATTCTTCTTCCAATCCATGAGCATGGGAGGTCCTTCCATCTTCTGATGTCTTCCTCAATCTCTTTAAAATTTTCATTATAGAGCTCTTTAATGTCTTTGGTCAGGTTTATTCTGAGTTTTTTTTTTGTTGTTGTTGTTGTTGTTGCTGTTGCGAAGGGGTGTGTTTCCATGA